TGTGTACATCTTATGCATTGAGTAGGTATGGAGATGGTGGTACGGTAGCGGAAGTGACGAATGGAACAATGGTAGTAGAAGAGGATTGTTCGGGACATAGTTGTACGTCGAGTGTGTAACACAAGGTGTCGAGTGTGTAACACACACAGAAGTTGTAGACAAGAGGTTTAGGCAGCGGCTTTGAGAAGCGATGATGATAGATTAGGTATAAAGACAATGGCGGTGATGACTTGAGAGTTATGACGGCGGCGGTGGTGGCTGAAAAGTTTCGACAGCGGCCAAAAGGTAAAGGAAAAAAATAGGTTTAGATCAAAAGATCTTATGTTTTGATACCATAAAATATTTTGTATTGTCTTAAATTCTTTGATTTACATTGTGAAGTATTCATACAATTTTCTATTTCCTATTCTCTACCATATTTTCGTATGATAATAGATATATATGCATACTTTTCTTACAATGCTCAATAGAATCTGCGACCCACCTCTAGATTCATAGCTCACAATTTGAAAGCTTGATATTTTCATATGCCATTTAATTGAAGACATTTTTGTCAAACTAAATTATGATTTTCTTTTATACTGTAAAAAGATGTTTTAACCCCATTCCCTACTTATTTTTGTTTTGATATGTAGGTATTTAATTATAGGGATATTTATTAAAAATATTGTTATCTATTTTATTTGATTGATTAGCCAGTTTTGACTCTCCTACCAGTTTTTGTTAAGTAGCTTATAACATTGTTGTGTACGTTGAAAAATTAGTAAAATAATTTTTAATAAATTGAGCATTTATTGTTTTAAGTAGAAATAAGAGGAATTGATACCAATAACCAATAAAAAAAATTATAACTCACTAATTAACCAATTCTTTAAAATTTTATAATTATGATGTCCATTTATAATACACTTTTCATTAGATTCCTAATTAATAATCTTACTTTGTTATTAACCAAATTCACCCAAAATAAAATGTTTTTCTAAAAAAAAAAGGGTATTATTTGAACAATCAAAAAAAAGAAAATTCCCTTTAATCATTTTCCCCTTGTTTCGTTTTGTGACAAGGCTCCTCGTGGGCAATTATTTTCTTGTTGGTCAAACGTGGGCAATTATTTATTTATCATAATTTATTCCAATGAATAATTTGAATGGTGGAGTATCAAGTATAAACACCATCATCATCCTTAATCACTAATTATTCTCTGCTCTTATATTCGTATAATTCAGTTGAAATGTCATTATTAGTAGTAGTACTACTAGTATAACTTTTTTTTCTCGACAAGTAAAATCGTGGTAGTAAATGCCAAACACTTCATTAGGGAACACAGCACAATGTAAAAAGAGCCTACCAGAGTATTCTTCTGTTTCTTGTTGTGTTCTCATTTATCTCCCACAAAAAAGTCAAATAGTCAAACTCGAAAAGTCTTCTCTTGGTCAACTCTCTTCCTCGTCTTTTTAATTCCCCAAACCAAAAACCCAGATGAGCAGAAAGAATTCTCCGACAAACACAAAAAAATGGAAACTTCCCGTTTTACCCTTCCCCTTCTCCTCCTAACCT